TTGAAAATTTACATAAATTTAATTTCAGCTTTTTTTTCAATTGAGAATTTATATTACATAATGAAATTCACAAATATATTGTATTATTAATACAGGCTTTACATTTTGAAAGTGCAAAATCCATGTTGCCTGATAAAGACCACTTTGAATATTAATTACCACTTCTGTCAAGCTAATTTATCTAATTTGTGCTGATATTTAACTGAAAATTTGCAAAAACCAAGAGTTTGCTCAATTATATCTTTCTGTACAATATCATAATCCAATGTTGGAATGTATACATATATATATATTATTCAAATTAATATCTTATTGCTGAGCGCTATGCGGAATTTACGGTATAGCGAGCAACATAATTAGGGACATAATGAAACAACAATGAGAGAATTTCAGTAATATGCATTCAAAATCCAAGAATTTTTAAATAGAAATCCAGCAGAGTACAATATTTTTCAGAAAAAAATTTACATTGTAATTTTGTTTTTCTTAACATTTTTTCACAGTTATATACTTGTTTTTCAAACATTATTAAAAAGTAACACGTGAAAAAACAAGAAACATAGTTAAAATGAACAAAAGAAATAGTTTAAAAACTGCAGAAAAAATAAACAAAAATATAATTTAAAATTCTCGTTAAAATAAATAAAATATATTGTTTTCTTTTAAAAAATGAAAAATTGATGTTTTCTACTTGGAATTGGATTTAATTTGAAACTTTTAACAAAGTTAATGACTAATGTAGAATCATTTTGGAATTCTAGTAATGAGAGGCAGAAATAGCAATTTCTAATTTAGGCACGAGAATGGTTTTGTGAACGATTTTCAGCCAATTGAACGTAACCACTTTGAAATTAGAAACAAAGTCACTCTATATTGTGTCATCCGAGCGTCAAGTCCTCAGAAGATGCTCCTCTCTCATCCTCAAAGCAACGAATATTCATCACCGTCCAACCGCTTAATGATCGAGTTAAGTGGTATAGGTAAATATGGCGACTTCTATACTTTCTCAGTATAGACACCAAAAAACACTTTCTTGCTTAAAATAATTTTTATTACAAAATTATAGCAATTAAGTTAAGAAACAAAATAATGTCGTTTAAATCTGAAAAACTTTCTCTAAATCTCGAAAAAATCTACATTAGAAAAAATTATATTTAATTTAAAAATATAATTTTAGATGATTTTATTTGGTTTAATTCAGACTATAAGTTTAATATTAATAAATAGAAAATATCTACTACTTTATTTTAAAAATATTATTTGTTTCTTTGAATAATATATTTAATTTAAAATTATATATTCTATTTCAGTTCAGCAAAAAATAAGTATAATTTATGTATAATTTAAATAATCAATCAAAATTTATGTCTGAATTAAGTACATTATTTACGTTGAATCAATCAAAAAATGTTTGAAACAAATACAATTATGCTTGACTATATGAATAATAAAATAAGTTTACATTACACATAATATGTTTGAAACAAAAATTTTATTTTTTTCAGTGTAAAATATATTTTTTTAAATTAAAAAATTTATTTTTCTCTTCCTTCTTTTATATTAAAATTTTATTATTTGCGTGGGAAAAATTTTTTCTAGCTTAGTTAATGAAATATTAAAAATACATAACTATTGTTAATAATGATTAATTTTCATCAAAAACATTATATGTATCTATTCATCCCAGGGAAATTTGAAAACAAAAATAAAAGTTGTAACGAACAAAATGTTTTAATCTCAAGGATTTTTATTACTAAAGATCAAATTAAAACAATGATTTAGTTTATAGAACTACTTTGTATAAATACTGACTCTGTTTTGCATTTTGTAATATATTTCAGTAGATTCGCTCTTCTTTTTCTTCTTCTTCGTTTTTTTTTTATACACATTTGCTTTATACCTAAGAACTACTTATTTGCTGGAATATTTAGAAATATATAAAACTTTTTTTTCGGACTCGATATATTATAACAGAAACAATGTATATATATTTATAGATCGAAATCAGAAATTGAAAACCACAGCCACTTTACAAAATGAATATAATTTATTTATTTTTCATATTTCTTAAAACGAAAAATTAGTGTTTTTTGACATTTAGTTTTGAGAAGAGCACCATTTAAAATAGAAGCGTGTTTAATTATATAATGATTGCAAATTTGCCGGTCAAAAAAATAAAGTATGTGATTGAGGGCTTCGCGTGAATACGCTGAAGGCATTATTTTTTTTTTTCGTCTCGGTAACGCGCGAGGGGTCAATTTTCGTGTGATCGCTACCGAATGTTTTACAAGCGTAAAGTATGCTGTTTTATTTTTTTTTTTACAAAGGGACATCCTCGACGATCCCATATAATATATATATATGATTCACTCCCTCTTATTCGATTATACACACTTTCTCACTCTCTCTCTCTCTTTTTTTCTCTACAAGGGTATTTTTTGTACACACTCTCATAATCACAACTATATGCACAATGAATATACACATACATACGACTTAAGGACTACGAGCATTTTTTTTAGCTTCCAATCTACAACTTAATCTAACGAATCTTTTCAACTCATTTACCCAGAGAAAAAATATATTTGTCTCAGAAGTAAATAAATATTTCACTCTTTCAAACAATCCAGTGGGAAAAGCAGGATTGGCTGAATATTGGTCCAATATTGGGAGCACTTTTGCCAATCTTGGTCCATTATTTTAGCTAATATTGGACCAAGTCTAGGAGTGTAAAGACCAATGCCAAGGCTCGAATTTTAATATTGGCCCAATATAATATTCAAGCAATATTCAAAAATACAAAAAATCAGACTTCAGCCAAGATTAAAAAAATTAATTATTAAAACAAAAATATAATAAAATTTTATATTATATTTATATATTACATTTTATTATATATAATAACATTATTATTTCTAACGTCCTTCTAGGCATTAACAATTATCAGCTAAATAAAAGAGATATTGTGAAGATTCTGTACATATCGCGGATACTTATACCCTAACCGATTGATGTTGTTTATGAGAGAGAAAAACACTGCCATCTGGCGAATAGTTGGAAAATGAACGTAGCGCGAACTTCAAATTGCGTGAAGGAAAAACTGTAAATATAAACATTTACTTGAAAATGTATTTACTAAAGAATGCATACTATTTCATTATACAAAACTTAATTAATGTTACAATGGTCAGAAATAATTTTTATAATTTTAATTCTTCATACTTACAGTTTTTCCTTCATGCAGTTTAAATTTCGCGCTACGTTAATTTTTTAACTATCCGCCAGATGGCAGTGTTTTTCTTTCTCATAAACAACATCAATCGGTTAGGGCATAAGTATCCGCGATGGTGTAAAGAATCTTTACAATATCTTTTATTAAGCTGATAATTGTTAATGTCTAGCATGACGTTAGAAAATATATATAAAAAAAATGTATATGAAATAATAATGTTATTATATGTAATAAAATATAATAATATATAAATATAACAAAAAATTTTATTATATTTTAGTTTTAATAATTAATTTTTTTAATCTTGGCTGAAGTCTGATTTTTTGTATTTTTGAATATTGCTTGAATATTATATTGGGCCAATATTGAAATTCGAGCCTTGGCATTGGTCCTAGACTTGGTCAAATATTGGCTAAAATAATTGGTCCAATATTTAGCCAATATTCAATCTTGGCAATTTCCCACTGGGAATAAATGTTTATTCCTTTCAAAACAATAATTTTTATTTCGTTCAAATAAAAATTTTTTTTCTGACACACAAAATTTTATTTGAGTTTAGTTAGCTCTAAGATAAATATATTTTTATTTAATTCAAATAAATTATATTTGATTCAAATAAAAAATTTCTCTGGGTATATGTAGTGATCTGCGGGTTATGGTACAAAATCGGTTCTCATCGTCAAGGTGGTCGAGGAAAGTTACTATTTGTAACTTGCTTAGCGAATCATAAATTCATTTGAAATTTAATAATTTGTTGCTAAATTTTTAACAAAAAATTAGTTTTTCCTTTTTTTCTTCATTCCAAAAAAAAAGATGTCCTACTAAGGAAATTTTCTTTTTATTCAAAAACTTTTATTTTAGTAAAAAGTTCCTCTTATTCCATTTTGATTTATAAAAACTTTGCTTTAATATTTAATTATTTTTTCTGAAATTATTCTTAAGGTTGTGTGTTTTTTTAATTCTATACATGTAAATGTTTTTCGTAGGTTTTCTTCCGCAAAATACTTGATAGATTGAGATAAAATTTTATGGAGAACTCCAAAGCAATACGTTTTTAGTCATTTTCCCAAATAAGCAATTTTTTAATAATAAATTTTTTGTCAAAATATTAATATAGTCTTGCATATGACAAACGAATTCTTATACTATTTTTCACTACTTTTCAAAATTTTAGTTTAATCTATAAAGTATTTTGCGAGAAAACCTGCGGAGAATATTTACATGAAAAATCACAACAATTACAAAATCTTAAAAATCAAAAAGTTCACAAGACAAATTTCTATTAAATACTTTTGTTACGTTGCAAATTTTTTTGTAAATATCTAATAATAATAATAATAATAATAATAATTATGTACGTTCTAATCCGAAACAAATATGGACAATTTTAATAACAATATTGAACAATCTCATAAAACAATAACACATAAACTACAAAAATTAAGAAAACTTAATATTTTTATGTGTCTGAAGTTCTGAACTTTTAAATGAACGAAATCTTTTTTTTGGTCTAAATATTTTTGTAAATTACTAATTCAATGAAAAAAAAATACATTAAACATTTATTAAATTATTAATTTATTTTTTAATATTTGAACTTAAAGAAGTAGTAAACGTTTCGTTTAATTGAACGTTTAGAACTTGCAGAACATGTATTTTTTCATTTTTTAAAAATATTTTCCATTTCTTTGTATAAAAAAAAATGAGAGGATTGCTCGATTATTCTTTTTTTTCCAATGATAGAAATGAAATAACATATATAATTAATTTTTTTCCTCTCCTTTCATAAAAGAAATGAAATGAAACAATTAAATTTAAATTGTTATTTTAACGAGCTACTCGCGACTAATAAAAATATTGTTTCGCAATTTAATTTTTAATGAATAAATTAATTAAAATTAGAGAACATTTTTTTTTTTAATGAACGATAATTTTTCTTTGTAAAAAATAATAATGAGAGCAATATTAATTTGCGAAATAATATAAAATATATGAAAATTTACTTCGTGCCGTTCATTCGATTAATGGACGACGACATTGACGATGAGACCACAAACGATTCAGGTCGCTACGCGTGCGGATGCGTGTGAGAATGCGGATGTGACGAGAGGGTTAAACCAGACGACGTGGTAACAGGTTGGGGACCAGACACTGACACAGGTGTCGTGGATAAATGATGACCAAAGAATGAAGGTCCCGTGGGAGGATATGGCGATGGATGATAATAGCCAGGTGGCGGCGGTGGTGGTGGCGGTGGATGATGGACATGTGAATGCGAATGTGGATGTGGATGCGGATGTCCATGAGGATGGGCGGCAAAAAGAAATGCCGGCGCATAAGGAGATGGATGTGATGGTGTTGTTGGCACAGTTGGACTATTAACGTCTAAGCCGGGATTTTGTTTTTTCCACTTTGTTCGTCGATTTTGAAACCAAATTTTCACCTGTGTCTCGGTGAGACTCAATGATAGTGCAAGATTTAATCGTTCACATACCGAGAGATATCTGGTTGTTTTAAATTTATTTTCTAATGACACCAATTGTTCATAGGTGAAGGCTGTTCTTGCTCGTCGTGGTTTGCCACCTGTCCCACCACTAGAGCCATTGTTTTGACTACCTTGTCCTTGACAATTTTGACCTTGACTTGGCGTGCCACTTGACGACGATGACGACGATGAGGAAGATTGTCTTTTCTTACAATTCGATGGTGTTGTTGTATTATTTTCCCTAACATGTCCTGACGTCTCGTGTTCATCCTCGCCAACTCGCATTTCCACATCCTCTTCTTCTTCATCGATATCGTCATCCATTTCTTCCAATGTGTCTGGACCAATATCATCTTCTTGGCCACTACCCCCAGCGAACTCTCCTCTCGAGTCTCCATCTGAAAGTCAATTTTTCGATAAATTTCATTTATAAATTGAAGCAATTTTTCTTAGGCTCTTATATTATTTATTCATTTTATTACACTCAGAGAAAAGAATTTCTTTCAATTAAATATACCATTTTTTTTTATATTAATCCAATTTTTTGGTTATTCCAAACAAAATTTGTTTGATTAAAATAAATATTTATTTCATCTTTTAATAAACGTTTTGTTTATTTTAATAAATTTTTCCAACAAATTTTTTTCTGAGTGTTTATACGGTTCATATAATTAGATTTCATAATTATTCATGAAGAAAAACATTATCTGAAACAGTAAAAGGTTTCACTACAATAGCGAAAAATGTAACTGAAACAATTAAAAACTTTTACTATTCTAATTAAACCTTTTGCTGTTCCATGTAAATCTTTTCTTTCGTAAATCCTTTTTGTCATGATTTTTTGACGTTACAACGTCTTACTCCGAGGTCTAGGGAGCCAGTCAGAAAAATTGGCGTTTATATCGTCGGCCAGAACTCGAAAACTATAAGTCATATTTTCAAGATTTTTGTGTTATTCGATTACTTTCGATCTAATCTCGATACTAAACTTATTTTTGTTAAATTTGGAAATGAAATTTTTTTTATAGTTTTCTATGTTACCGACCGGTTAAAGATTTAACATGTTAGTATACAGCGCCACTGCTGTCAGTATCCATTATACCTATATATTATGTATAATAGTCAAAATAAACATGGCTGCCGAAGATGTCACTTTGTTTTGTTTTCGTATCGTTATTCGAGGAAAAAAATGTAGAACAATCCGCGATCGTGTAGTACAGTGTGGTGTTGGCCTGTGTACATTAGTATATAGTCACAGTATTGCCAATTGCTGAAATTTTGCACCGGAATAATATCAAAACATAACCTCAATCATGGATGTATTCTGTTCAAGAATTATTATAATTAACGGGTCCACCACAATTCTTGAACAGAGTAAATCCATAATTGAGGTTATGTTTTGATATTATTCTGGTGCAAAATTTCATCAATTGGTAATAATGTGGCATTACGTTTTAAATATTTTTAAGTTTAATTGTTTGGAAATTATTGTCAGTTTATTGTAATTTTATGCACTGAAAAATAAATTTATTTGATTAAAATAATCGGTTACTTGATTATTATCGAATAAATATTTATTTGTATCAAATAATTATTTGAGTCAATGAAATGGTATTTGTTTCAAATACAAAAATTATTGGTTCAAGTACACTTTATTTAATTCAAATAAAAATTATTTGGTTCAAGTAAATATTTATTTGATAATAGTCAAGCAACCGATTATTTAAATCAAATAAATTTTTTTCAGTGTGTTTTTGTACAAAATAAATACTAAATAATAATCTTATAAAATATAGTTAAATTAATTAAAAAAGACGTTTTCACGATCAAAATTCTCCGTCCGTGTAATAAATACAGACCCCCGCTTTAAATTTTTTTTTTTAAGCGTTTGTTAATTTAAAGAAATTATTTTTCTTGATTTGTTTTGTTTTATTAAAAAAAAAAATGTTTCTGTAAAACAAAAAAAGGTTTTGTGATTCAACAAAAGTTTCTTTGAATCAAAAAAAAATTTGCTTTTTATATCAGAAAGAAATTCTAATTAACGTCAAAAATAAAAATTTATTTGAAACGAATAAATTTTCTTTGAATCAAACAAAAATTAACTACTAATCAATAAAACCAAATCAAAGAATATTATTTATTTTAATTAACAAAAACTTTTTTTTGAAAGTAATTATATCAATAGTAAATGTAAGCTTTAGCAAGACAACTATTTACACTTTTGTAAATGTCGTTCTAGTAGTAAAAGTAAGTTTTAGTCAGACGTTTTAAATTTTATTAATTCGAGTGTAAGTAGTATGTAAGTCAATTACAGACAATCTTTTAAATTCTTGTATATTTAATAAAAGTCTGCTTTAGTCAGAAAAAGTTTTAAATCCTTGTAATGTAGGTATGTTATTAGTTTAGTAAAAACAGTTGCAGAGTTAAATTTCTTAAATTTTTCTAAATATGTAGTACATATCAATATAAACGTGAGTTTTATTATTACAAAAATTATTACTCTAAATCATAACATATTTTCAGAAGTCTTATAAAACAGGAAATTAAAAGGCATTAAAATAAGCTGCAACGCTTATTATTTTAATCCAATTTTTCTTATTTTAATACCAAAATGTATTGAAATAAGCAAAATTGGATTAAAATAATAAGCGTTGCAGCTTATTTTAATGCCTTTTAATTTTCTGTAAATTTCTTCTCTAGTAGTTAAAGTAAATTTTAGACAGACATGACTGATTAAATTCTTATAATTTTATTAACAGTATACACTGAGAAAAAAAATTTAGTGTTTGCAACAAAATTGTTTGGTTAGGTAATTTTGCTTCTTGCAATCAAATTTTGGTTGGCTGAAACAAATTCGTAGAGTTATCTCAACCAAACATTTGGTTAGGCCAACAATATTATTTGGTTGAATATTATTAAATTCCAACCAAAATTTGGTTTCGACAACAAAATAACTTGGTTAACACAACAAAATAGTTTGGTCTAAAAAACCAAATGATCGTTTGTTGTTCTAACCAAAATTTGGTTGCGACAACCAAATAATTTGATTCGCTCTCAGCTTATAGCTTAAGAGGACAGATAGTTTAAATCTCTCACAGGGATGGGTAGTCCAGTGGTTAGAGCTCACTGTGATGTAGTGCGGGTGTTGATTGTTTGTTACTGCGCCTATTATTCTAATTGTACTAAATCTTTAATAAACATGTTAAAAAAAAGTGGTTAGAGCTCCCGATCTTCAGTTTTAAAACAGAGGTTCGATCCCAGGCGGAGATGAGATTTTTCAAAGTCCTCAAATATTTCAATTGGATAAATATAAATTCAATGTTAAATTGATAATAAATAAATAATGAAATAAATAAAAAAAATAAAAACAAAAAAGCAGGGACTGTCTCGAAATATTTGTGTCATGTCCGTGTAGTGTCGCGACTCGACACGTTTGAAAACAATTAAAAGTATCGTGGCGAGACCCGACACTTTTAAAACTTTTCAAACGTATCGTGGCACGACCCGACACAGTTAAGAAATTCATAATTGTATCGTGGCGAACCACGATACATTTAGAAATTTGTAATCGTATCGTGGCAGGACTGGACACGTTTACGAATTTCCAAAAGTATCGTGGCGCGACTAGACACAATAAAAATTTGAGAATCGTATCGTGGGGCTGAACTACACGACACAATACAAAAATAATTATGAATTTCGTGTCGCATACAATGAAACTTGTTGATCAACATCTTGACAGTTTATTAATCCTTCAATAACATTTCAAGAAATAAAATTAAAATAAAATAGATATAGATTGAATATATATCAAATGTAAATTATTAAATTTATATTATATTATATTATATTATATTATATTATATTATATTATATTATATTACATTATTTCCACGAATTTCTGTTTTCATCCTATACTGTTTATTTTCATGTATTTCTTTTTGTATTATCAACAACTTATTGTCTAGTATGTAAACAAACCACACTTAACCCCTTCGCAGTCCAGTTAAAAATCGCTGGTGGGCCTAAAACGGTCCGAAAAAAAAGTTTCCAAAAAAATATGACTTCTTCATATTTAAGGTTTTTGTGGTCGCTGAATTCCAATTTGAGGTCAATTTTTCAAAATTCAAAATGGCGGATCCAATATGGCGGACAAATTTTTAAAAAATCAATCCAATTTGCCTGAAATTTGTTACTCGGGGGTTTTTGGGGTCGCTAAATTCAAATTTGAGGTCAGTTTTTCAAAATTCAAAATGGCGGATCCAATATGGCGGACAAATTTTTAAAAAATCAAACCGATTTGCCTGAAATTTGTTACTCAGGGGTTTTTGTGGTCGCTGAATTCGAATTTGAGGTCAGTTTTTCAAAATTCAAAATGGCGGATCCAATATGGCGGACAAATTTTTAAACAAAAAATTTTAAAAATTTGTCCGCCATATTAGATCCGCTATTTTGAATTTCAAAAAACCGACCTCAAATTCGAATTCAGCGATCCCAAAAACCCCCGAGTAACAAATTTCAGACAAATCGGATTGATTTTTTAAAAATTTGTCCGCCATATTGGATCCGCCATTTTGAATTTTGAAAAACTGACCTCAAATTCGAATTCAGCGACTACGAAAACCCTCGAGTAACAATTTGTGGTCAAAACGCATTAATTTTTAAATTATCCGCCATATTGGATCCGCCATTTTGAATTTTGAAAAACCGACCTCAGATTCGTAATCAGAGACCCCGAAAACCCCTGAGCAACGAGTTTCATGTAAATCTGATAAATTTTAAGTTTTCATGGTCGCCATTTTGGGTCCGCCATTTTGTTTTTTTGAAATCTGACTTCAAATTTGGATTCAGCGACCCCAAAAACCTCCGAGTAACGAGTTTCAAGCGAATCAAATTAAATTTAGTATTATTTTTTTGCGATGGCCATATATGGCCACTTGCACAAAGGTGGCACGACTTTTTCTGGCCACATATGGGCCCTGGACTGTCAAGGGGTTAAAATTAAAAATAATTTTGTTCAATAAAATTAATAGATTAATTTAATTTATTAACATTTTAATATTATTATGATTTAAAGAATTGAAAAAAATGTAAGACTTGATTACGAATTCAATATCAGTTTTTTAAAATTCAAAATGGCGGATCCAATATACCGAATCAAAATAACTAAAAATGGGCAAATTCGTCTAAACCATGTTACCCAGGGGTTTTCGGGGTCGCTGATTACGAATCTGACATCAGTTTTTCAAAGTTCAAAATGGCGGATCCAATATGGCGGAAGACAAAATAAAAAATTAATCGGATTGTATTAAAAACCTATTACTCGGGGGTTTTCAGGGTCATTGATTACGAATTGTGACAAAAGTATTTCAAAATTCAAAATGTCCCAAAAAACGCT